ATATTTGTGTGTGTGTGTGTGTGTGTGTGTGTGTGTGTGTGCGCGCGCGCGTGCGCACGTGAGTGCTTACTTGCTAGCTTGCTTGCTTGCTTGTTTGCTTGCTTTATAGTGTCTCTCTCCTTTCTTGTCTATTTCTCACTTCCCATTATATCAGAGACCTAGATCTAGCAATGTAAACATTGTTAGATCTAATCTAGGTCTCTGTATATCTCAACTTATCTCTCTACCTCCCTGTCACTCTCATCACCCTTCCTTTGTAGTGCTCCTCATTCTTCTTATTCGTCTCCTTCATCCTTTAGGCCTATGAACGCTCCAAACCCGCTGTGAGAAGTGAGAAGACGACAAAAGGCGTGAGACCGAAACCGAGAATTCCCAGAGTACCTACTTAATGTATTCAGAGGTCAAAATGGACACATAACTCAGCCTTGTTGTGACTGGTTGCAAGCCACCCGATCGCGCGATTCGCAGGCCTGAAAAACAAACGCGTTTGTTTTTGTAGGTCACCGACCGAGTGAATCGGTTTGTGCCACGATGGCCGCTTTGCGCCCTCAATTTGGCTAGCCCCGACTACCCGATGGATCTGACCCGACCCGACCCGCTCGCATATATTGGCACCCCCTATTACTCTCCATAGCTTGAAGGATCTTTCCTAATGCCTTATCACAGTGTGATTTATTATTTTTCAGGTCCAGTCTCAAAATGGTGTCAGCGTACGCTCTTGTCTTTGTGGCTCTGATGACCATCCTGCTTTTCGTACTCATGCGCAAAAAGAAAACGAACATACCTGGTCCGCCTTTCTTCCAAGCTCTGAGAGAACTCTCCAGGAGCGTAAAGTCGAACTGTCTCCATCTCGTGGCTGCCAAGTGGGCGGACAAATATGGCGACGTCGTGTTCGTGAACGCCATCATCCGCAATGTCGTCTTCATCAACAGTACCTCACTTACCCGCAAACTTTTCTCAGACTCTAGTACAAGAGACATCAGCAACGACAGACCTTCTTCTTACCTAGGTAGAGTGTTTATGAAAGGATTCAAAGACGTTGGAACTGCCTCGTACGGGAAAGAATTTGTCCAGAGGAGACGACTCTTTCACAAAGCTCTAAACTTCTACGGTGAAGGAGTCCATTCCTTTGAAGAACTAATGACAAACACAAGCAAACATTTAAGTGAGCGCCTGGCAAAGTACCGTGGGAACACACCCCTAACGACAGAAATCAATGGTTACATCGGCTGGGTAGTTGGACTTCTGCTCAAGGGAAAGGACATTACTCAAGATGACATTGATTCAGTGCAAACGTATATTGAAACGGGAAATAAATTATTTTTATTAGAAAATGAATTCTTCCTCGAAACAATTCCGTCCATAGCACAAGTTCCTGGTCTCTGGCTGAATAAACTGGTGAATAAGTTAAAAAAGGCGGACATGGAGATGGACGCAAGGTTCCTAACATCTGTTCGAGAAACCTTCAAGAAAGGCGAAAAGACTGGCATCATTACAGATTTGTTGGAGCAACAGAAGCAATTGGAAAAGAACGGGAACTTTACTGACATGTCCGATGAAATAGTGCAGGGTCTTGTCAAGAATATCCTTTTCGGAGCCAACCTTACGACAGCGGGGACTCTCAACTCTTTGTTTTTGCAGCTCATGGTAAACCCTAAGTTACAGGAGCGTATCTATGCAGAGATTTGTGAAGTTATAGGTAGTGACCCTCCAAGTTTTGACCACAAACGTCTGATGCCTTACACAGAAGCGGTGATCCTAGAAGCATTAAGATATAGTACAGTGACGCCATTCCTTCTACCCCACTGCACCAATGAAGACATCAACCTCGAAGGTCATTTCATTCCAAAAGGAACCTCCATTTTCCCGAACTCTTGGTATTTCCACCACAGAGAAGATTTGTGGGACAAGCCCTGGGACTTCAACCCAGACAGATTCTTAGACGCCAACGGCCAACTGCTGCCTTCAGAGCACCCAACACGTCAGAACTATCTGCCGTTCGGAACTGGCAGGCGTGCTTGCCCTGGGGAACGTTTCTCGAAGCTCCGCGTCTTTTTCATCTTCGTCACTTTGGTCCAACAGTTTCGTTTTCTTCCTCCTGTTGGCGAGGAGCTCCCGTCATTGAACCCGGAGACTTGGGAGGCGAATTCTGTGATTGCGCCGCCAGACTACTCATGCCGCTTAGAGCGACGGTCTGCTGCGGAGACAGGAATAGAACTCATGGCTGAGAGGTAGATGTAGTGGTGGGTCGGGGGAGGTTGGGATTGTTGAGGGGGCGAGGGGGGAGTGGGAAAGGTGAAATGGTGGTTGTCTGCTAACCCTACACCGAGCTGAAACGGCTCACATTGGACAATATGACGTAGAAACGTAGAGCTGTGACCACCATAAAGTATAATGTGTATTTGAAGCCTCACGATTGTCTTTTGCTATCATTCGAGGACAAGAAGGAGAAAAAGCAGTTATATTATCGATAATAATAATAATAATAATAATAATAATA